CGAATTTTAACTCGTTGTACGAGTCAAAAATTCTTGTCAATGACTGCTCGTAAAGCGAATTACTCGTATAATGAGGCACTCGTACTACGAGGTTCTACTGTAATTACTAATTAGTGTAATACAAAGTTCATAAACTTGCAACAATAACTATAAATATATCCATTTACTAAAATAGTAACTGTAAAAACTATTTTATAGCAAAATTCTAGTGATTATATCCTGTCTTTAAATATTTTATACATTGCAACATACATAAGAATAGCTATGATTTCATGCTATTGAGTTTCATAAAGTCTTTTTTTTTATAAAATGTAAATGAAGAACAACCTTGTTTTCAGAACTCTGCAGTCAGTACTTACTGTACATTGGGATGACAGTATGTTAAATATGTAATATATACAGTAACATTTTACACTTCAAAACGTTGAAATAAACAAGGCAAATAAATTTGAACTATGAAAGAGACTTGGTTCCAAAAATATTACATAGATTATGCTACAACAATCACTACTGAAAAATAGTTATTTAATTAGGAAAGTAGCAAATCATTTGTTTTATATATATAACATAGCCATGAATTTAACACAAGCACACAAGGCGAGGGATTTTTATGCATACTTGGTGGTTGACTACATAATCAATGTCCGAATCTTTAGACGTAAATGTCACCAGATTTATAACATTTGACTTAGCTTGTTTCATGACAAGTAGTACCTTATGACCAGATTGATTATTGGCCTGTCAAAATCTGTGTTTATTTTAAAAATAAAGTGTTAAATTGTTGTTGATTATCATGACCTATTGCACAATTAAATTTAACATTCTTTTAAACTGTTTGCATGATTTATACTTTTGTTTTTTTTCCAGTTGTCAACTGTATTATTTTTTCTGCACTGAAGTCAACGTGTTGAAATTCTAAAGATATTGTTATCCTCATCATTCAAAGAAATGGTTTAAAGTAGAAGTTTTTTTAAGATGAATTAGAACTTTTAGATTAAATGAAAAAGGTTATTTCTTATTAAACTTTAAGGCAACATTGGGAATGTAACTTGGACTTAAACAGGAATTGAGTAATAAGCAGTTATACTAGTAATATTTTCTACACAATTAACTAATTATAGCTAACATAGAAAATGCATTTTTGCATTTTCTAGTATAAATAAAGCCAACCGATAATGGGACAAGTCAAATTTTACGCACTTGCTGCTTTATCAACCACAATTCAGTTAACAACAGTTAAGCATATTTTTCTCTTCAGAACATGATATATATAGTACAACTGCTTTATCTGAAAACACACATTAAGAAACTGATAATTGATATATTCCATGTTTAACTTTGTTTTTGATTTTATATGGATAAATCTACTGGATAATACCAACAAAAACTAAAAAAGATTGTGACAAATTTTCTTTCATTGAAAGTTATCTACAAAGATGATATGACTTTAGAAATATTAATGTATGTTTAATTGTTGCAGCTTCTACCCACCCATATGGTGTTTTTTTTTTGCACACTTTGAAAGAACTTGATACCAGATAAAATGCTAAAGACCCAGAATAAATTGTGTTAGGATTTTTTACTAAAACAATATTTTAAATGTTTTGCTATAAAAGAATAATCCAACTAAATTTCTTAATATTTTAATTCCTTAGATATCCTTTTACAAACTTTATGCCTGAAGTGTATAATAATGATACCTTAACTTTGTGTTTGCTACAGATTTCTATTATTAAATAAGATATTTCAACATAGAGTTAATTTGGTTCGTTGAACCACAGCAACAAAAGGTCTAGGCACCACTTGGAAGGAATCTTAAGATTAATAGTATACAAATAAATGTTTTGTGTGTAATGTGAAATTACTTATTTTGTGTAAATAGTCATATTAAAACACCACAAATACAATTTCAGCATTGCTTATTCATACTGGTTGTTCTCATTGTGTTTTATTTTTAAGACAACCAACAAGTTTCTTCCACACAGTTAAATTTTGTTTATAGCAATTCAACCCTCTTTATTATACCTGAAAATTTACAATCAGTATTTCTAATAAACAGCAAAATAAAAACAGAACAAACAAAAATAACATACTAATCTGACAAGTCCCAATACAATTGCAAAATTACAGAACTAATAGTTCAATAGTTTGTAAGATCAGAAACAAAAGTGTTAGTAAAAATTACTGAACATTTGGAATAGATTTTTAGTTTTCTTTTGCAAATTTCAAAATACTGTACACAAACGCATATTATATATAATGTTGTAATCAACAAATATAGTAACAATGTATAAGTATAAAGAAATATATTTTATGACTGGTACTTTAAGATTTCAACACTACTTTAAATAACTGCAATAAGAACATTGTCAAAACCATAGTGAAAAACTTTTCCAATGTATGATGTGATGTTATGAGGTGGAATATTAGTATTTGCCTAAAGATCACTTCCAACAAATGTATGTTACTGATTGAATGGACCATATAAATCAATAATCATTAAGTTCTGTTCACGAGCTTCTAATTTTCCCTGGAATATAAGTTTTGTCCAGCTCTTGTTCCTGTAAAAACATGTGTAGACACCGTTCATTCTGTGCTAAAGGATGGCCTGCTACCCTAGAAAGTTTAAAAAAGTTATAAAACAACAATAGTAATGTCTATAGAATTAAGTAGTATCTCAAGCTCCATACACTTTTCATCAGTCAATTTAAATATGAAGTTTTAAAATTGTCTAGCATTTTAATTATTTCAAACAGGTAGTTGTTTGTTTTGTTTATTCAATTATAATCTTACATCATGAAATGAAGAAAGCAGTTTTTTGCACAATATATAAACTCCAATAATCTTTAGCATCAGTCTGAATTGAGTGGATGAAACCTAATACTAAAACTGTGTCTTCACTGGTTGTGGTAAGAGTGATGTTGGCAATGATAACTGATAATTTACTAGCTTATGTTTATTTGTTTGTTGGTAGGTTTTCTTAACACTTACAGTGAAACTGCACTAGGAATCCTTTGAATAAAAGCAAAACTATGATCAATGTGAATGAAAGTACAAATGTAATTAAGGGCCTAAAATGGGCTATTGCATTATCAAATAGTAAAATGGGATGGAAATACAGTTTAACTGTTGTCCAAAATTTTGAAATTCTAACTCAAAAGCAATGGCAAAGTGCTATCCATACCACATTTAATACATTTCAAAGCTGTACTTTAATATTGCAGATACAGTAAAATGAAAATGTCATGTCTTGATTTGGAATGGACCATTATGGAGTACAGAAATGAAATGTGATGAGAATGTTGTGCAAATTATTTCATTTGTTTATTGCAAGTTTCAACTTTATACCCCTCAGAGGACTTAGTCTCCTGTAACTTAAAAGGTAGTTAAATGTAAGTGAAAATGGTGAAGTGTATCCAAACAGTAAGATATGTACTGCTTTACCCATAAAAGGCTCAAATTGTATTTGATATAAAATAATACACTTACAGAAAAATTAATAAGCTCTTCCTTTGTATTTTCTACTTTTTTTAAAAAATACAATTCATTTTAAATTTAGCTAAATGCTTCAACTTAAAAGAAATTTGGCATACTGCATGCTTTGTCTAAATCGCATTGTTTGTTGGACAAAAAAAAGTTATGATTTGAAATTAATCTGATTAAATGAAACATAAAAAACAAGGTATTAAGGTATAAAATTTTGTAACACTACTCTGTATAAAAGTTTGCCCTAAGTACTTTGTAAAAAGACCATTTATTTGTTTTCAAATAACATTCTACATATTAACGTAATATAAAAACATATTTTACAGTGTTCACACAGGAACTTCCCAATATCTTTTCAAGGAAGTTTCCATGACTAAATAAAAAATTTCTAGGCATAAAATAATCATGAGTGTACAGTGCATATAAAAATAATAGAAATAAACACAGATATCAATAATCTATGATACCCCTTCAGCTATTTTCAAATTACAAGGCATTAAATCAGATATTAAGGTAAACACTATTCTTTCAATACTCATGCAATTACTAAGAAAATATTTCTCTAATTTTAATGAAAACCACTTTATTATTGTGAACCATATCTTTAGGTTTAATACAGATGTAGCTCCACGTCATTTAACTGCAAACAAATAATTTATTCTCATATTTGCTATTCAGATCTTGATATATCTGCCTTTCATATGGCTAATTAGTGCCAATTCACATATTAGAAACATCAAATCCTTTTTCACAAGCCATGTAAAGGGCTTTGTATTTGTTCTCTGTCCATTCATATGTGACCATTGTTCATTAAAAATAACTTTTCACCAGGCATTTTATGATTCTATCAGCATTTTGCCACTAGGACTATATACCTAAACACTTTTTTATCAACATACTTGACAAAACTAAGAGTAACAGACATTAAAACCAGTGTACATAATAATGCCATGCCACAGTGTTAATTGCAATACAAAAAACTGGAAATGGAAACTTGTAACTGGATATCCTTTTTTTAACTCCACCCACCAAACTACAAATGAATAGACAAAAGTTAATCTGAAAGCTATGTTTATTTTATATTTTGATTCAATTTTAAATTTAGTTTTTAATGAAATAAAAAAATCCCAGGAACTTGCATGGTTCTAGAAGTGCAAGGAAAATACTTTCAGGAGCTTCTAGGTATTCTAGGAACTGTAACTAAGACTTAATTTGTTCTGTCCACCAGTACATTTTAAAGTGTTATTTTTATTATAAAGCTTACTTGTTGACGAACATTTCAAGTCCTTTTTTCCTTTCTTCAATAAATTCCTCATCAAATATTCCTTCATCTGCTCGGAAAGGAAGCTGTCTTTTCCAAGCTTTTCCTGGTAAAGGTGGCACTACAATCTATACAAATAAAATGTCTTATTTTATAATCTGAAATAAGTCATTTGTACTAATGTTTAAAAAATTGATTTATGTCAATTCTTTACAATAAATTACCTACATATTAGATCAAGTTAAGTTTTACAGAATTTAAGGGATAAGAATTATTTCTTTAAGGTTAGACTAAACATTTCCAAGTGATTTCTAAAAGTATAAAATAAATTTATTCATATAATTAATACTTTAAACTATCAGTACTCAGTGAAACTTCATAATTACAGAATTAAGGGGTTAAAAAAGACAACTGTATGTTTTACAAATATTTCATTTGTTACTATTATGGTTTCACCCATAAAGGCATTGTCAGGCACCTGAATTTCAACAGTCATTTGGAGATGGTAATACTAATAATTACAATGAGTTAGTTATTTCTTGTTGTAATTTTGTTTCAAAACGTTACGAGTATGTGAATTATAGCAATCCAACAGAGTGTCATTTGCAATACAGAAAACATGAAATGCTAATTAGTGCCAACTAGAGAAATATAAACTGTCTGAACAAATGGAAAGACTACAATGTATGGCTTTATCAAATTTAAACAACATTTAAAATACTGAACAAATTAGCTGCTCTATATTGGCTCTGATGTTGGCATCTAAAAAATGGACTATCCACATTGTTTCAACTTTTAAAAAGTTTAATTTGCTATAGGCCTGAAACAGCAATATTGAATAATGATGTTTTTGTACAAGGTGTTCTCTTCTAAAGTTTAAGTTACTAAATAGCTCACTCTGACTGGTTTTGAAATAGTTGCTTCTCACTTATCAGTCTCATTAAATTACTAACATTATCTGGGCTCAGAATACCAGTGCAAGGGTGAGAGGGGTTACAGATCGAACAACCTATCTAAAATGTGAAAAACCCTTTAGTTGTTGCACTGTTGTGCAATTTGGGGAGTGGATCAAGTTTTTTCAAAGCTCTTCAGAATATACACTTGGAAACAAAACATTAAATTTGGAACCCTTCCTCACCTAAAAGTATTTAATTTGAGCCCAGAACATATTTATTATGTTTTGTTTTCTTCTATAAATTTCTTTAATATGGATGATGAAAAATGCATTTTATTTTATTAAAAGATATGAGGAATCTCAAGAACAAATACAAGCTACAACATCAAAGAAAATTTAACAAAGGGAACAAAGAAAAAGAAATTGAGAAAAAATGCATTAGAAATTAAAAACTATACGTCAAGCTCTAGCTACACCATAACCAGATTTATGATGGTTGGTTGTATGTAATATACATGAAGCTTTTATAGTTCTAGTGACATGCAAGTACATGACCTGATACACTGCTAAGATACAACTGTTTTTAAAGAACTGCATTATATAATACCTTTTCTTTGTTTTAGACATTGTAAATACCATGTTTGATGATGTCCTGTCCATTTTGTATATTCCTCATTCTAGGCAAAATATTTTTTTGGAATGTAGAACCAGCCCAGCAGTCTTCCAATGAATGAGATAATTTGCAAACTTGAAGTCTCTCTTTCTCCAGTATCTTTTAAATACTTTGTTTTTGAGTAGGTGGAGAAATATGATAAAGTGAACGAGTTTGTATTGTTATTATCCACATTTCAGTGATAATAAAAAAAATAGTTCAGTTTGTAATGACCGTTTAATTTTGTGTATTCATTTAGTTACTACCATTCAGAATGGAAACCTCTGACCCTTTGATAATAGAAAGTTAATTGATTTTGTACTTCATTTGTTTCTTAAGGTTACACACACACACACATATATATATATATATATACATGTGTGCATGTGTTTTTAAGGATGCCTTCTGGACAAAATGACAGTAATATGTTAAGAAGAAATATTGCAATTTGACATACAATATATGGGGTTGTTCATTTAATTAAGTATTCAGTTGCATAAGTACTACTTTTAAATATATGCATTTTGTTTTATCAGTTATTATAAACCACTTAATCAGCAAACCAACTGAGACCTATCTTACTTTCATTCAAGAAAATGGCAGTAAAGTTTTTAAAGTAGAGAGGAATGTTTAAAAGTTAGTAATAAATTAATACTTGACATAATTTGTTGCCAACTCATATTTGATGAGAATAAATATGTATCTATGCAGTCAAACTAATTATAAAATGTTTGGATTACTTTGAAAAATTGGATTTTTCTACACCTTACAGTCAATATATTGGGACAATCACCATTTTATTATTACTGAAATAGACTAAAGTATTAATGTACAGGTTGCAGAAAATAAGTTTCTAAAGATTATTTTTTGAAAATAATTTATTTCATGTGGTTAACATAAAAATGTCTCCTTGTGATTTTAAATATCAGTTTCCTTTTGTTGTCCTGATGGCCAACAGGGTTAAAACTGTGAAATGTCTGTGGCCATCCTAGAGGATATACAACAGTTGTTTTATTAAAAGTCTGATAAATTAGTAGGATATACTTTGTTTTAATTTTATCATTTAGGCCAAATTATTTGTTGCTAAATTGAAAGTTTGCAGAATTTGCTATAATCCTAGCCTCTAGGCAAAATGTATGGAACTAAAATCATTGAAAAGTTATAGCAATTTTTGGTTATTTGTACTTCATAAATTACTAGATTATTCTCTATGTTTTTCCTATGTTTTAGAATTTTGAAATAGAAGGAGGGGGGGGGGGTGTTAACTGTGATGTATAACTGACTAAACAGAAAGGTTACATGATTAAAAAACCTAGAAAATGGGCACTTCCACATGAATTATAAGGTAAAAACAATAAATAATGAGAATTATTTAGAAGAGTGTAGCCATCTCTTTTGATACAGAGATTTATAATCTTGAAATAAATATATTCAGCAATTAATTACATGTCCTTAGTGAAGTTTTTTCCAGAAACCTGAACTGTTTTTTGCATTTTGTCTGAGAAACCGCAACATCATAAAAGCCATGAAGTGTAATCTACCATCACATAAAGAAGAAGCAAGTGAATATCAAAGTGAATAGTGTGAGTATATTCTTCATCTAAATATATGACAGCAATGATGGTCAAATGAGAAGGCATTTGACAAAATATAAAAAATGCTCAAAATAAATCTAAGATCTATGTGGGCCTTTAAAAAATGCATAATAGAAAAAAAACTAGGAATATAATTATGACTATGTTTTGTAGTTTTACGTACAGCAAATCTTTTTTTTTATTTTGCTTATGAAAATGTATACATTTGACTTGACTGAATGTTGGACTTACAATTAACCTCATTTGTCCTACCTTGCTGTTTCTTTCCAGTTCTGTCCTTAACCACTCAAAATCACTATAACGTCGTCTTACACTTGATTCTTTCATCTTGAAAACTGGTAGGTTTGTCTGAAAGCACAGATCTTAATATAAGTACTTTTTATTCAAGCTACTTTATTTACACATATACAATCTGAAGGACATACTGTACTAACATTATCAAAGAAAACGGCTTAGTTTATTTGTCTGAAATTATTTGAGTAGAAATACAGACAACACCTAGAAAATTAAGTATCCTTATAGTTATACACAGTTAATGTTTCAACTTTGATAAACTTGCAATTAATTTTATTTATTTCACAAGCTTTTGTATGTCCATGTACTCATGCTATATCAATACAGCTTCTAAGAGTACAGGGCACTGGTATTTGTGATGCAATAAGAATTGATGAAATTATGAACAGTTGGCACAATAACAAGTATTTCTAAAACTATCTCGAACAAAGTGATTTTCACCTACATAGTACTTATTTCAAAGCTAATTATTTCTGTACTCATATACTATTTTCCCAGCATTTCTATTCACATATACGTATATAGATTATATGACAATATCACTATCATTTTGCCAGAGATATTGTTAAATTAAAAACTTTAAAAACACAAATGTTATACTAAAATACTGCTTTAAATTTGATTTTTAAATTAATATTTTATTAAAACTTTTGTAACGAGGATGAACGTAACACTAACTGTAACAATGAAGAGCATGCTCAACTCAGTAGCTAATGATATGCTAACAAGGTGGTAAAAGTTTGAAAATAATAATATATAACAAACAGATGTAATATTGTACTTATTACATTAATACTAAAGTTAATAATAGTATAGTACTAATACTAATAGTGGTAGTAGTACTAGGGCGGCCAGTAAACTGCAGTAAACGCCAATGTCAAAGGTCATACCTTCATTCTAACTTCATAATCGGTATACCGATTTCGACCAATCCCATGTGTAATTGGATCGCGAACATCTATTTCTAAGAAATTTGCTGGAGCAGCATAAGCATCATCTAATGTTTGTTTTTTCGGTTGAAGCCGCCGAGTTGAATCTTGAGGTACCTTCTCCTCTGAGTCCATGTTTGTGAACAGTTAAGTTGACACCTACCGGCCCAGAACCATGAATAAAATGTATTACATCCTTAATATTAACATCGATTAATAGATTATTCATGCAATGGGGCCAAAAACTGTAGTTCACCTAGCGGTGACTCTTTAAAAGTAATTGCATTACGACAAAATCATGTGATTTTTTTCTGACTGGAATTCTTAATATATCCAAGCTTAAAATTTAAAACTACATTTAATTTTACTTTATTTTTAAATAACTCTAGAAATACATATAAAATAAGATATGGTTAAAGCTAGAATCGCAAACCTGTCGAACATATCAAAATATCTTTTTAACTCTTATTTTCCAACATCTTCGTGTGTTTGTTTGTTTTGAATTTCGCGCATAGCTACACGAGGGCTATCTGCGCTAGCCGTCCCTAATTTGGCACTGTAAGACTAGAGGGAAGGCAGCTAGTCATCATCACCCACCGCGAACTCTTGGGCTACTCTTTTATCAACGAATAGTGGGATTGCCCGTAACTTTATAACGCCCTCACGGCTGAAAGGGTGAGCATGTTTGGTGTGAAGGGGATTCGAACTCGCGCCCCTCAGTTGTGAGTCGAGCAACCTAACCACCTAGCCATGTTCCAACATTTAAAGATGATTATTTGGCAGTTTTTACTTTCTGAACCTTTCGGCTACAATTTTATTTCTAAAGAGCAACAGACACAGTTAGGTTTGTTTTATGGAAAACTAACGTTACATATTATGTGGGAGAATTATATAGAGATTTGTTTATACTGGTGTTACGCTTATCTAACGAATAAGTAATACAATATCGGTAAAATTCTAAGTGAATACTTTGTCATGTTTATATCTTCAGCCGGTTTCTAATGCCATTGTATACTATTGGTAAGTTATGATTCAGTGAAATGGTTTATAATATTTTTGTTATACAAAATTGCCTACAAGAAATTATAATTGACCTTTTAAAGTATTTGAGTTCTGGTCTATAATCAGTTGTTATCCAATTAGACGTTTTAAATAAATATTTACCAATAAATAGTATTCAGTGACCCGAAAAGGGGAACATTAAATTGCAAAATAGCACATCAAGATATTTTCTGTAATATATACGGCTTTGCATCCGCAAATATATATTTTATTTTCCATTATATACGTATATATACTAGAAAAACGAAACGTATTTTACACGTGAAATGATTGATCCTTGTTAAATTACGTAAAACTTTTAAAGCTAAAATGCTAATGCTAAGAAAAGGATGTGATTATGGCCTTCAACAAAATTAATGAAACATTAACAATAAATGTTAATTACAATAAAAAGCTAGTAATTGCTGTGTCAATTTTACAAGTTTAAGGTTATTAGCCACTGTAAGACTGTATAACACTATTCAGTTTAAAATGTTTCTATTCAAACCTGAATTCCTGCAACTGACAGGATTTAAACATTTAGTTATAGATAAAAGTTATTCTTGGAAAGATTTAGCTACTTATATAGTGATTTTTGTATGGTTTTGTGTATTCATCCCTACCTTGTTTCTGTACTTTTTGGCATTGCCATCCCTAAATCATTCTTAATTTTTAAAAATTTTATTATTACTTGTTATATAAGAAATTGACATAATCTAAACGCACTAAGCAGTTTTATCTATTTGAATCTGAAGGAAAGGAGTAATAAACAACATATTTTGAAACTTTCTTTATTGTGTAAATATGTGCTCAGTTTTGTTCAAGCTCGGTAGTTGTTTCAATATTACTTTATTCATGTAACTCACATATTTTCTACTTTATTAACTGGGTACATCGTTTATTTTGCCTATGGGAATACTGTTTTACAATGTATTCAGTGTATTTTCATACACGCACATATATATATGTATATGAGTTCAACTTTTAGTTTTAACTATGACGTTTCTTTATAAGCAGTTTCAGTGTTATATAGTGATTTAAGCTTCAGACTATAAATTACGTTTTTTTTTGGCAAATATCTAAAACATTTAGTTAAAAACTTGTGTTTTTGAAACATGCAACATCATTGAACAGTAACTTGGATGTAGCTCTTGAATTTATGAATCATTGACTGTTTTATGACCAACTATATTCATAGAACTTAAGTGGGTGTAGCAAAAGTACTTTTCATACTATAATGTGAATATACTACTAAATATTTTCCTTCAATCACTTTGGCCAACCACATTCACTAGTGTTAAGTAGTATTAAGCCTTTCTGTCAATCTCTGATGACTTGTGATAGACCTTCATATTGAAGAGAACTTGAAACCCATTTGTAATATTTCTGTGCTTCATGAAAAAAATTGAGGCTTAAGACTAAACTACTGCAAGTACAAGAAATTAATCAAGTGAAAATTTAAAATCAATTGAATAGTTATTATGAAAAAATACTATTAACTCAATATTGTAAGTAATAATATGTAACATCTTAGCTTAAATTACGTACATTCAAACAAATAAATGCATGATAAACTGAGTTTGTTTATTTTACAGCAAAGCCACATTAGCTAGCTGAACTGAACCCAAATTTTAGCACTGCAAGTCCGTAGACTTACCTCTGTCTCACCTGGAGAACGATAAACTGAAAATTACAGTTTAAAACTATATATTTCTTATTGGCTCATGAAGTTACCAAATGTCTTAACACCCAAAGAGTAAAAAAAAACAAAAAAACTATGTAAATATGTAAAAACCACAAAAGATTTAGCTGCAAGAAAGAAATGTTATTTACAAAGAAAATCACATTTCTCTTTCAAATGCAGTTTGTTTGTTTATAGTTAAGCACAAAACTGCACAATGGGCTATCTGTGTTCTGTCCACCATGGGTATCGAAACACGATTTCTATCCTTGTAAGTCCGTTGACATACCGCTGTGCCACTGGGGGTCGTCAGAATGTGAAACTCAACAGATGGGATAAAAGCTGAAAGTTATAAATTAAAAACTTATTTTGATCAAAGTTTAATTATAATTATCAAGTGCTTTATCCATTTGGTTTAAGTACTTTCTCTAGGTTTTTCTTTTCTGTTTAGCCAAAGAATAATATTTTATCAAGTAGTCTGAATTATACAAAAATATAGAAATTTGAGCTTTTTGCCAGAAATTGTTTCTTTTTTTACTATTGTGATTATGATTAGCAGGTACTTTGAATTATCCTTTGCCTTCAAAAAAAAAAATTCACCTGCATATTAGAATAAAAACACTGTCTTAGAATTATGACCCAGGAATCACCAACTATTATAAGCTTATTCTCTTTGTTACTCTGTCAAGAAAGCTTTCACGCTCCTTTTTTGACAATGCTCAACGATATAGATCGTCGCTTAGCAACAAGACTATTACTTAATTGTTCTTAGACCAACTATGGTGTTTATATTAAATGCTTAATATTCATGTTGATTTGTTTAAAAAGTTTGTTTTGTATTTTTCATAATCTTGGTCATATAACAGCAAAATAGTGTAATTCGGAAGTGTTATGACACTGAATTGCAGCCAAAAGCAAAATATGATTTACCAAGTAATGTGTCATCTAAGCCTTACACTACGTTTATGTATTATATTAGACTACAAATAGGCCTACTATTATTAACGTTAGAGAGTCAGTGTTTAAAAACTTTTATGTGGTGAATAAATGTTTATTAATAAATATTCTTTTGGTATTTTAACACATATATTATCTATTTTTTATTTAAATAGACACTCAACGTTTTGCTTTACATCTTCTTCAGGAGCATTCACTAAAATACAAACCGAAACTGACAGTACAAAGCTTCAAATGGTTTAAATAGTAAATTATATTCGAATCTATAATGTGCAGTTGTACAACGTGCTTTGCCCCCAATGGTACAGCGGTATGTCTACGGACTTACAACACTAGAATCCGGGTTTCGATACCCGTGGTGGGCAGAGTATAGATAGCCCACTGTGCAGCTTTGTGCTTAATTACAAACAAACTAACAATCAACGTGCTCTTGACATATTAAGTAGTAAAGCTTATTGTTGAAAGAAAAGTATTGTTGAAATAATTAACTGTTACCTGTAGTATACAAACATTACAAAGGTTACAAAGTGAAATAACAAAAAGATAGGATAAAAAATAAAATAATTAAAATTATAGGCGCCATCCTTTGTCCCTATTCATCTGCAGTCGTAACTGTTCGATGAGAAGAGATTCTTTGAATTTTCTGTTAGTGTACTTGGTGGCTTTGGTGAGGATTTCTATGGAGAACGGTGGTTTCAAGTCAGGTGTTACTTGTACATGATTGGTTAAAAAATTATCTGCAACTGCGCTTCTTTCATGTTGTTGTTTATAAAGAGCGTCAATATGTTCTCCTATCCTTGTGTGTAGGGTTCTTCCGGTTTCTCCTACGTACGTTTGATGGTAGATGTTACATGTAAGATGGTAAACAACACTGGAGACAAAACACTCATCTTTAGATTGCAAACACGTTTTTGTAAGACAGTTGGCTCTACCATACTATAGGGTAGTGTACTGAGATTTTGAAAGTTGGCTATTTAGGGTTGGACCTAGCTCTTCTATAACTTTAATCGGCAGTTCAGATTTCCTTATTATAGTTTTTATGTTCTTGGAGATATCTTCGTCAATTACAGGTGTTATAAAAATAACGTTTTTAGTGTTAGCTTTGGAAAATCAATTTTTTTCCTTCTTGTTTATCTGTGTTTTCTCATGTTGGAAGTGCGATGCTTATTTTTGCGTGTCATAGTCCTTGAAAATTTGTTGAATGTAAGAAGGTGGATATTCATTGCTCAGAAGAAGTGATTTTAGTTCTGAACGTGTATTGTTTTTCACTACATTCTCCAATAATTGCGCCTTTCTTGGAAGATTTGGGATGATGGGGGTTGAAGTATTGGTTTGTGAAACAAGGTAGGTTGTATATTATTGTCATTGTCGATCTTTAAGGTAACGTTAAGAAAATCTATGTTCCACATGTCAATTCGAATTGATTCAGGGTGAACTGGGTGTTGAGGTCTATGGAATTTAGAAAGTCTTAAAATTGTATTAAAGAAGGAAGACCATTGTTCCATAGTCCAAAAACG